ACACACCTTCTAGGCCCACCCCCCACATTTGTACCTAGGCCCCACACACCTTCTAGGCCCACCCCCCACATTTGTACCTAGGCCCCACACACCTTCTAGGCCCACCCCCCACATTTGTACCTAGGCCCCACACACCTTTTAGGCCCCACACACCTTCTAGGCCCACCCCCCACATTTGTACCTAGGCCCCACTCACCTTCTAGGCCCCTAACATCTATGTCATAGGCCCGAAATCTCTTTGTACCTAGACCCCGCACATCTTTGTACCTAAGCCCCACACACCTTCTAGGCCCACCCCCACATTTGTACCTAGGCCCCACGCACCTTCTAGACCCAACGCACCTTCTAAGCTCCACACACCTTTGAACCTAGGCCCACACACCTTCTAGGCCCCACACACCTCCTAGACCCTACACTTCTTCTAGGCCCCACACACTTTCTAGGCACCACACAAATGTGTACCTAGGACTCACACATCATTGTAATTAGACCCCACACAACTGAATTGTACCAAGACCCACACACCTTTGAACTTAGACCCCACACACTTTGTACCTAGGCCCCCACACACTATTATAACTATGTCCCACACACTTTCTAGGCCCTCACACCAAGCACCGAAACCCAATTTCAAACCAGTAAGACGTACCACCCCCCCCCCCCTCCCAACGGGGTGGGGGTGGGGGAAGAAAAATAGACTTCCGGTCTTACTTGGGTTTAAACACAGAAAGCTGCACAAAACATATCAAATTGAGATCGTAGCCAGAGGCGTCACCAGGCGGGGGGGTGGGGGGTGGGGGTGGTGCGGACACCATTTGGGGTGAGGAGTGACACCATGGCGAAAAAAATACTAAAATATATAAAAGAATATGCATTTTGCAAGTTCAATCAATGATCGACCTGTATTAATGAATAACTGAATGTAGATAAACATCTACACTATTAACTGTATACGTTAAAGCTATCAACTAAGAGGTGGGGGGGGGTGAAAGAGTGACACCAACTGCTAAATGTACAGAGGAAAAAAGATTTTGTTGAATATTGAATATTTCATAGACCAGATGACTCCCGACCTAGCGACGCCACTGCGTGTAGCCTCAGCTCTTTGTTCCTTATGGGCTTAAGAAGAATCAGGCGAGTCATATTCCACACAAGGATCACCCATTTTAACATTTATTTAAACTAACATTTCCAGCTAATTTTTTTTTATAAGTCGGCTTACAGCCAACGATGTATTAATCTCCTCTTAGAACTTTTGAAGTGGTGGTTTTCTTAGGTGTTATTCCTAAATTTGAATGGTGTATAGATCGGGGCATATATTAACACAGGCTAGAATGTAACATGAAGAGATCTTATTGGGTTTAGTTTACATCGCTATGCTTGTGTAACTGGATGTGATCTTATTACAGTTTATTATGGCTTCCCCCCCCCCCCCCCTTTTTTTTTTCTTCTCCCCCACCCCCGTAGTTGTCTCTTACTAGTTTATATAGACGATGCAGATTTGTAATAAACTTACAAAAGTTAAACGATGTTGTCTAGTCACATTTATCTCAGGTTCTAGCCTAGCTCGTTCTTTGTAGAATTTGAATGACGTGTTAGGGGTCGGCGTGGTCGAGTCGGTAAAGCTCATGGTTGCTATAACCGAAAAGTCTCGAGTTCGAACCCTCGGGCAGATGAGGCTCGTTAGCTGGGGACAGCCACTCTTCTAGGAGAGACAACCTCAAAATAAAACAACTGCTGCCTTGTGATTTGTTCTTGGTTGGACAAAAGCTATGGAAGCAAATCCAAAAAGAAAAGCAGGCTGAAATCGGAGTCAATGGCCTCAATGGCGCATAACCAGTTGACACGTATACTTAATTGTGATGGAGGCGTGGTCGAGTCGGCAAAGCTCATGGTTGATAAATTCGAAAAAAAAAGTCTCGAGTTCAAACCCTCTGGCAGATAGGGCTCGATCCCTCCCAACACTAAAAATTAAGAACGAAGAAGAAGAAGAATGTTTCTCTAACGACCACTTATAATCGTCTATTCCCGTTCATGCCCCAGATGAAATAGAGTTACATCTATTTCAGAGACCTCGGATAGTGTGGTCAGCACTATGACTATCCAGCTTGGCTTTTCCTACTGACTTGAACTCGAACTCGAAACTTTCGAGGTAGCAGTCTAGCTCTCTAAGGCTAGGCCACGCATTCCCGTAGTGACAATGTATAATTATTTGAATTTTTTTGATTAGTAACTAAGGCATCATATCAAATGAGTGTAAAAGTAACTCTAATAAAATACTTAAAAAAAAACTTTTTAAAAAACCACGTTTTTCTTGTGGACTACAAAGTAGAAAATAACTATTTACATACATTTGATGACAAAAAACTGGGTACGTTCAGCATCAAATTTCCCGACCCATCTGCCCGACCCACGTTTTTTGTCATCAAATGTATGTAAATAGTTATTTTCTACTTTTTAGTCCACAAGAAAAACGTGGTTTTTTAAAAAGTTTTTTTTAAGTATTTTATTTTCTCCTTTTTAGTCGGTTGCTACACATGAAAAACGTGGTTTTTTAAAAAGTTTTTTATACAGTTTATTTTCTACTTTATCTAATGACTTGATTAAGTATGACTTGACTAAGTGTTTATAAATACACGGACTAAAAATCTTGAGCGACCAGGATTAGAACCTGGGTTGTTGCGGCCACAACGCGAAGTACTAACCACTATACGATCACGGCCAGCGCGCTCACATCGATTGGGCCCGAAGTAACTGTGTCAATAGGCCTCCAGTCTTGTCGGTATCTTTAGAAATCATGTCCTCAATTTTATGGTCCTTGGGGCGTAATTAAATTAAGCTAATTACGGTCTCTAATTGCTAGTTTTTATGATTGCATCTAAAATTGTTAGGCGAAAGTAGCCTACATGCCAAATTTCAGATCTATAGAGCAATCAGAAGTGGGCTAATTTTCGATGTCAATTTTAACAACAAACAAACACACGCGAAGCTGAGTTAATAAAAACGTGTTAAAAAGTGACAGTTGGGCAGAAAACAATTAGTTAGGTGAGCTGTTCCTTCACTAATATTTTATAAATCTTTTTCTTACAAGCCGTAAACTTTCTTGAATTTTCTTAAATAATAATTAGGGTAGGGGTGGTACTTCAAGTGGGATCGGGTTTTATAAAAGGTAGTTAATTCTAAGAAAAGAAAAACCCACTAGAGAAAGATTCTTTAGAATACCTTTCTTTATAAGAATATGATTTAAATTATAGAATTCTGAAAAGTTTTGAGGAAATGGAAATGAAATGTGAGTTCCGAGTTCGAGTTACAAATATTGCTCAAACGTTAAAAAAAAAAGGAACATAAATGATCTAATACTTACATATAAAATGTCGTTAAGATAACTAAAACGATATTCATGTTGTGAATCTCATATGGAAATGAAGTGCCAGTTCCGGTTACTGGAAATCATTTTAACTTTGACTAAAAAACCTAGGCATAAGATCTTATAGTTTCGTCCCCCTCATAGATAAAGTATTGAAGTTTTCGCAATACCCCCCCCCCCCCACACACACACAGGCTCAATTGCAAATTCGTGCTTTTTTTCGACTCTGAGACGTGTAAAACGTCAAGTTTTGTCAAAACTTTTTCAATTTTTCAATTTTTTAAAAGTTTTCAATTTTCCGCACGATTACTAAACTTTCGTCTAAAACTCATTCACGAGAAAGTAAACACAACTCCAATCCCGATAAAATGTGAATGAACTCCCCTAAACTTCAATGAAAATAAGCATATAACAATAAGGGTTGGGATGTCAACTCCTGTAAAATATAAAGCTTTGTGACCAACTGTTTTTAGAATAGGCTGGTTTATAAATATTATTAAAAATGTATGAAGGTTTTTAAGAAAGGTGATGTAAAGTATCACTACTGATTAACATAAATCACTCAAAAGTTGATGAAATTTATATAGGATCTAATACTTATATACCGAGTTTCATCGTCCGAATTAAAACTCAACTTAATTGGTCATAATTTACGCACTAACAAGGACACACAGACAGACACACATACAAACAAGATGGCAAAACTGGGATTTTTCTAAATCAAACGTCAATAATGGTGAAAATCTCAGGTTGGAGATTTTTGCCCAATACTTGCCCATATTTGACGTAAACTGGCGAGTTAAAAAAACACCACCAAACTCTACTGAAGCATTACAAAGTAATCTATGGTTATACAAATCCCTAACCAAACCTATATACTTAGATCGCAACCTCTGATCATAAACGTGTCCTTCAATGTTTTTTTCTTAATTAAAAACTTAAAAACAACTTAATTTAAGATCCTGGGGGGGGGGGGGGGGGGGGGAGAAGGAGTTTGCATCATAGTTTTTATATTTGTAATAAAACACAGCATGTTATTAACTGGTTATAACGCTAATTTACATCACTGATTGTATTGTATATTATACTCGATGGATCCAATTTTATATTGATAGTGTTGGGTCCAGCTCTATTCTAATGGTAAAAGTAAAGTTTCTCTAACGATCCTGACGATTCATGGAGTAGGTAACGTAGAGTTTACCTTTTTTTGTGACCTCGGCATATAGAGGGATAGTATGGACGGCATTATACACATTTTGAGAGTACGCGCCTTTATATAATTTTGACAAAAATGTTATTTAGTTCTATGGGCATACGCCAAGAATATATGTAAATATTTATCAACTACAATTGTAAAAACATTTTCTTCAAAAGCATGTTATCTTACGCGTATGCCGCATTTCACATTATTTTTTTACGTATGCGCTAACAATATAACACAATATGTTATTTTTCTCTTCCCGCTCGCTATTCGAGGCTATCAGTAGCCCAGACCACCACACACAAAAAGCCCGCGTCTGATTGGTCAAAAGTTTTTTCACGCGCCGAGCTGCGCCTGCCACATGCGCGTCGTGGTAAGAGCCTATCACGTGGTCCCGATTAGCAGACGAGAGCATTTCTGTCACTTGTTTTTTTTTACTTATAATTTATAGAAGAAGAAAAAAATTGTTGTAAATAAAAGACAACGTGCACACAGCAGGGAATACATGCTGTGACGGCTAGTCCAGGGAGCTTTTGTGCTGAGAGTGGCTCTGGGATTGTGCCACGGATTACCATCAGCCTGTATGTTATTCTTCGTTGATAGAATATAGACATATATATATATATATATATATATATATATATATATATATATATATATATATATATATATATATATATATATATATATATATGCATGTGTGTGTATCTATATATGTATATATATATATATATATATATCTATATAGATGTATGTATATATGTATATATATATATATATATATATATATATATATATATATATATATATATATATATATATATATATATATATATATATAATAAAGCAGTAATAGTAATATTAATGGTACATATCTATTAAAACCTGTCACGAGTCTAATAATAGAATCTGGACTGAAGCCTGTAGGACTTCCCTGAGTTCACCCAGCTCTAATGGGTACCTGACTCACGTTAAAAAAGTAAAAATTCCTCTTTAGACGTAGCGACCTATTGTTGAAGTTCATATATTCTTTGATCTCGGCATATGAAGGGAAGGTGTGGTCAGCACTTTGTCCAGCCGCCTTTACTTTCCCTAACATGAGCTAGGTACCCATCAGAGCTAGGTGGACTTAGGGACGTTCTACTGATTTGGACCCAGATTCGAACTCTAGACTTTCGGATAGTAGTATAGCGCTCTACCGCTTAAGTCACGCCGTCCCATACTGACTAACGTTGAGCGAAAATAAAAGCGGCTGGACATAGTGGTGACTACTTCACCCCTGCGAATGTCGAGGTTTAGAAACAAGAACTCCATCTGACATATACGTCTTTACTTCTAAAAGGGGAGTTTGAATTTTCTTTACTGCCGAGTGTCTCTAACTTTACTGTAAGCAAAAACTATACCTATGATGATGTTTATTTAAAAATAATTTTTAATGCAAAAGTTCTTCAAAGCGCAAAGACAAGAAGTCAGTTATAGTATTTAAAATAAATAAAAGTTGAGCTTTTATGGAAAACATTATAAAGTTAAGTAGTATTTTCGGACAAAAATGTATACAGTGTAGAAGAAGTAGAGTAACAGCGTTTCTTAGACCATGGTATGTTTAAGGATTGTGTGGTCCACACTGTGTCAGGCCGCATTCTATTTATCCAAAAAGTCAGGTACCCATCAGAGCTGAGTTAACGATCTCCAGAACCGAACTCGAGATTTTCGGGTTAAAATTCCTGTTCTCTATCCACTCAACCACGTCTTTACAAACCACCGGCTCCAGCTAATTGTTAATTATTACCGGTCGTTAAGCCGATTATAATTAATTGTAAGACTCATCAAATTCTATCTGCATTTCTATTACCCATCTCAACAGACGCCATTGCCTTAGCTTAAATGTTTATCCACCAGCAAAACACTTACGACATCCCAAATCTTAAAAAAAAAACCCTCCCTTTAAAACATTTTAAGCGGTCTGAATGCCGAGTTATAACCTAACTTTCTAACGGAAATATAAACAATCATTTATTTAAAGAATAATTAGTATTTTAGTTATTAGTAATAAAGTATTCTTTTTAAAATAGTAAATAATTATTATAGTTTGTTATAGCTTTATTTGCTTTAACATTTCTTTCATATTTGTAAATAAGTTTGTTGTAAAAAATGAGCTTCATTATACAATTAAAACCAAATTAATTAATAAACATTTTCTTGATACGCAGCTAAATAAGAATGATTTAATTATTATATAATTTAAATTTACCTACATTTCTTTAAAATCATGTAGGACTGTAAAAAGAAAAATTAAAAGTACTAAACACCAATTTTTTTTTGTAAACAAACATTTTTCCCTACCTATGTCCAAAAGTTGTAAGCAAATACTATCTTTCCCCCCGCAAGTGTCGTATCAAACAGTTGAAGGATTATACCTAACCTTTACAACTTAAAAACTTTAACTCGTCTCCTTGGCGTGTACGGCAACGAAACAAATCCCGTCGCATTGTTTAAACAGCGAACGAAGAACTCCCTCAACAAACGCTTATGTGTCTTACACATTTTACACCTTACATTTCTACACGATGTGACCTCAAATATTTCGAGTTTTTTGTGTCCACTTCTTTAACGTACGCGTTTAAAAACAAAAGGATTTTTACTATGAGTGAGGATACGTTGTTTATGTTTCATACAAAAAAGTCAGTTGTATTTTATCACGTATATGTCAGTGGTCAGTATAATCTATGATCAACTTGATGGTATGACCTAAAAGGTTGTGGTTTAGTTTACAATTACGTTTAGATTCTTCGTTGATTTACTTAACTTATTACAGTATAACTATAAGGGGGTCATCCATTTATGACGTCCACCACATTTTCGGATTTTTTAAATTCTACTCTTAATATTTAGGTCTGATAATAAACATTATCGAAACATTTTAAGTTAAATATTAAGTTATTAGGTACACAATACGTTATTAAACTCAGCATGCGGACATCAACATGGACCCGACCCGACCCGCCCCCCCCCCCCCCAGTTTACACGCGTCCACAAAAGTCGATTTTTTTCGGACCCCTCCTCCCCCTCCTGAATGTAAGTCATAAATGGATGACCCATAAGCATGTTGCTCAATTTTTTTTTTAATGTGCAGCTTCTAAATTTACCCCAGCTCAGTTATTTTTTCAAGTGTAGCTCATTAATTAATTAAATATATATTAATTAAAATTCGGGACGGCTAACCCGAAAGTCTCGAGTTCGAATCCGGGTTCAAGTCAGTACAACGTCCCTGAGACCACCCAGCTCTGATGGGTACCTAACTCACGTTAGGGATAGTAAAGGCGGCTGGACATAATGCTGACCATGTTGTCCCTTCATATGCCGAAGTGAACTCTACTAACTGATTATAGACTTAATCGATAACTGTTTGGTGGTCGGAGTGGTCGTGTCGGTAAAGCTCTTGGTTGCTAAACCGAAAAGTCTCGAATTCGAACCCTCGGGCAGATGAGGCTCGTTAGCTGGGGACAGCCACTCTTCTAGGAGAGACAACCTCAAAATCCAACAACTGCTGTCTTGTAGTTTGTTCTTGGTTGGACAAAGGCTATGGAAGCAAATTCAAAAAGAAAAGCAGGCTGAAATCGGAGTCAATGGCCTCAATGGCGCATAACCAGTTGACACGAATACTTAATTGTGATGGAGGTGGTCGAGTCGGCAAAAGTTCATGGTTGATACATTCGAAAAAAAGTCTCCAGTTCAAACCCACTGGCAGATAAGGCTCGATCCCTTCCAGCACTAAAAATTAAGAACGAAGAAGCAGTGGCGTAGCAAGGTCGGGTGTCACCCGGTGCGGCACTTTATGGTATCACCATCCAGAGGCGTAGCGACCCATCCCGGGGACAAACTTTCAATTTTCGATTTGCACCCTCCCCTCAAACTTTCCATTTGCACCACCTCCCTCAAACTTTCGATTTGCACATCTTAAATCACTTTTTATCATTCGAATTAATCACTTAATTAAGTGGAATTATCAATTTTCTCTTTATATTTTGCTATTTTTTGTCTTGTTGTCACCCCCCTAAATGGTTTCACCCGTTGCGGTCCGCACCCCCGCCCCCCCCCCCCCTCGCTACGCCTCTGCGAAGAAGATAAATCTTCACACCAGCAGTGCTGAAATTCAAATATATTAAACATAATCTGTACATTGTGTTCATCAAAACACAACATCGGACGAAATGACCGACACACAACTAACTGCAATGTAGTAGGTTAATCATTGTTGACAATAGCAGTGCCATCATTCCGATATGTTTAAAATTATATGAACATTTTGTTTATCAAAACAAAAGATTCAACTCTAAACAAATATCTCACACCAAACTTACATTGGCTTATAGCTGAGGCTGGTCGTTGTATACTGGGTAAACATGAAAAAAATTGTATCTCTCTTTAAACAGATTAATAAACTATTCTTACAGTGGCGTAATAAATTTAGTAGCGTCAACGGCTGATACGTTTCTTAACACGAGTTTCTTCCAGGCTTACCTTTGGGGGGATGGGTGGGGGTGGTAGTGGAGGCTGATACCCCATGAAGAACGTCTACTACCCCCGAACGAAATAAAATATAGAAATATATCCTTTTACAAGCCCCCCCCCCCCCCGGTGAAAAAAGTCTGAAAGAAACACTGTTTTGAACCCATACGATTATTGTGGCATTTGAACTAATGTTGAAGAGACCGCATGCTCGTACGGTAGAGCGTTTATCTTCTAATCTGAAAGTCTGGAGTTCGGATCCCGGGCGGACGTCCGTAGGTCCCGGTACTGAAAACAGTATCCCTACAAATGCCAGGGGGGGGGGTCACTGAAACAGGTGAACTCTACTTCGCTTGTCTGTAAGACATCAGTAGTTCCTAGTACTGAAAACAGTATCCCAAAAAATGCCGGGGGAGGGTCACTGAAACAAGTGAACTCTACTTCACCTGACACACGGACCTTATGATTCTAGCTTTATTGCATGAATTAAAAAAAGTATCGCTTGGTGCTGTTCGGGTCTATTTACCTCATCTCATAAAGATAGACATTTTTTTATTGTATTCAGACGTCATGTGAGGGTGTATAGGATCATCCTGGATTTGAGCATGTTGCCATCCCAAAATATAATTTACATATAGGCCTACTGTCATCGGATTAATAAATAATTTCTGAGCTTAAAAAAATATATGCGCTTTTAAAACTATTTTAAAGATTTATAACAATGCGTAGATTTTACAAACCATGCTGTTTTCTGCTTGAAAGAATTTATATAAATACTTTATAACATTTGCATTACACACATTTTTCTAAACGTATTATAAGTCTTTGATTTCGTTTTAACTGAATTACACATTACACATGAATTTTACTAAAATGATGTTATAAAAAAAACATATTTTAAGAGTGGTACCTAAATGTGTAGTGATTTATTAATTATATTTTCTACAGGGATCAGCACTTGTCATGTGTAGAGTTTTCGAAATGTTATGTGTCTTTTTATTTCTCATGCAATAACGTACCTACCGCACGTTGGTGTATCGGTTAATTATGTCATAAAATAATTATTGATTATCGGATCCTTAAAAATTAACCTCATTAAAGCGAGGTTACTTGGGCCTATTAAAATAAAAAATAAAATATTGATAAAATTTAGAAAAATTACGAACATATTTAGGTTGGAAAAATAAGCAAATTTTTTAGGCCGATGATCCAATCAAAAATTGAAATCCCCCCACTCCTCTTTCGACCCCCCCCCCCCCCGCCCATCTCCCTTTAGCCCTACCACCTGTTCAAGATTTACCTATGCTTAAGACACCGGACATTAGAGTATGCAAACACAGCGCTCTATATGGTGGGAGGGGCGAATAAGGTCACAGTGATAGAAACAAAAAAGTGTGTTGGTCGTTGTTTGTTGGAGTTCAGGGAATTTCGTATATGCCGGAAATACTTTTTTTGTGCTGTGGATTAATCGATTAGCCGTACCCTGTATTAGAGAATGCCTTAGATTTCGCTTATGGATATAGTTTTAGTAACTGTTATGGCTAGGCTTAGACAAAATAATTCTTGTAATTGCTTACTAAAAATTTAGTGTGTAAAAAGAAACATTTTCTTGAAGGCTGGCATTGTCTTATACAACACCGATTTAGGATATAACATCGACAAACGGGATATTTCAGAGTCTACCCAGCTCTAATGGGTACCTGACTCTTGTTGAGGAGACAAGAGCGGCTGGGCATAGTGCTGACAAACACTATTCCTCAATTGAAACCGATGAACTTTACTTGATCTGCAGCAAGTGTTTTGGGCGCGAACGGGAAAATGTTATAAGGGTGTTAGAAACAAGCAAAATGGCGGGTGATTGACGGTCCATTCGGCAAGTGAAGTAGAGTTCACCTGTTTCTGTGACCTCGTCATATGAAAGGATGGTCGGTCAGCTTTACGCCTTTACTTTCCCTAACATGAGTTAGGTACCCATCAGAACTTGGTGGACTCAGGGACGTTCTAGTAACTTAAACCGGGATTTCGAACTCGAGACTTTCGGTTAGCAGTTTAGCGTTCTAACCCTGGGCCACACCATCCCATTACATGTCTAAAACGCCCATTCAAATGTCTAAAAGGTGAACACATTTTAGTAGTAAGTCGTTTTCTAATTTGGTAGTGTAACCCCTATATCAGTAGATTATTTCCAATACACCTGTCTCCTTCGCATCAAATAGTTAATTAACATCATAAATTAAGTGCATCATCAAAATCAATACTTTACCGTATTATAGACTCCACAGTTAAGTTTATAGCAGATGGCCATCCATGTTTAAAACATGCGTATAATTAATTAGGTGGGTGTTAGAAACTGAGTAATTAAAACTGAGTATGATGTATACAACTAGTGAGTTATGTTTTAGAGATATGTCGTCCAAATGATGAATTCTGTCGGGGTTGCAACGCTGATCATCACAGTTGAAATATTTGCTAGCTACCTAAGTTGAAAACTGAAATAATTTAACTTATTTTACCCACCCTATTTTATCAATCCCATGGGCCGTTAGGTTCGAAAGGGAATTTTACTTGTACTCAGCTTCAACGTGTATGTCTGTCAGTGGTATATTTAGTGTAACATGTACAACAGAAGAAAAAAAAATCAGAAAAAAGTAGATCCCTTTCAAACTCGATGGTCTAGAGGGCAAGTGAAGTAGAGTTCACCTGCTTCAGAGACCTCGGCATATACAGAGATACTGTAGTCAGCACTATGCCCAGCTGGCTTTACTTTCCCTAACATCATTTAAGTACCCATCAGAACTGGGTGGACTCAGGGACTTTCTAATGAGTTAAACCAGGATTCGAAACTCGAGGCATTTGCGTTAGCAGTCTAACGCTCTAACGCTAGGCCACGACGTCCAATTTGTAGAACAGAACTTTGACAGAAATCTTGTCTGTTTCTATGACAACCACATATGTATGCACTACTCTGAAACCAACGTCCTTCAACGGTTTATGTTTTATAGCACGTATCCATTGAAGTTGTCTTATGAAGTGGATATGCTTGGATTTGCGGCTTAAGACACTAGTCGGCCACCTTGTTGATAAGATCATATTTAAGCTGGCGTACTTAAAGTTACATAACCTATCAGATAACAGACTGCACTGGCATGTTGTTTTTTTACTTTTAAACTGATCAAAACTATAGTTCCCTTTGGTTTTATTACTTTGCAGTTGGTTATACTTATGTATTGACTTTGTATTCTTCCATTTTCATCATCATCTTGTTTTTGCCTGTGCCCAAGACACACTGGGCAGATCGAGTAGAGTTTATCTCCACAATGACTTTTTCATATAGGGCTGGAAAATAGGTCAATAAACAGTTCTATGGCTCATGCAGGTTTTATTGAGCCGTAGAACTGGTTGGTGACCTACTTACCAGCCCTATAAAGCTGTCTGATTATTTCTTTGTGATGATGGTCACAGATCGAGATTTGAAATTTTATACAAAAAAAAAAAAAAAAAAAAAAGACGAAAAAATACAACACTAAAAGTGACACCTTTGAACATGACGGTCAATAATGCAGATAAAGTAGAGTTCACCTGTTTCGGCGACCTCCGAATTGTGTGATCAGTTTAATGCTCAGCCGCTTTAGTTTTTCCTAATGTGAGTCAGATACCCATCAGAGATCTTTTGGACTAAATGACGTACCATATACTCGAGTCCGGGATCTGAACTAGAGACTTTCGGTTTAGCTGTCGTGTGCTCTACCATCCAACCACATCGTTCCATTCTTCAAATATGAACGCATTTTTTTGTTTTCTATTCGATCTAAATATAATTATTCATTAAGTCTGGACTAATTAATTTGTTTTTAATTAACAGGCTAAACATCGAACTTCCTGTGTGTAATCAAGACCTGCAGGTTTTAGACTAATTACCTAATTAGCAATCAACCACCATGGAAGCACTCTACATCCACATCGCCAACAAGCTAGAGTCCATCAGATTCGGCAAGCCGAAACACTCTGGGAAGCTGATCGACATCGCGGAGCTCAAGACCCTCGAGCTCTGGAGAGCGGTGTTTGCCGAGTTCCTGGCGCAGATTCTGTTCGTCTTCCTGGGCTGTGCCTCGGCCATCGCTATCAACCCGACCAATTCATCTGATCCCGTCTACCTGGTTAAGGTAAGGGGGTCACATATTTTGGGGGGGGGGGGAGGGAGGGGGGGGGGAGGTCGATTGAACAAGAAATGTGTACGTTCATCTCAAATTAAATTTGTGTGTTTAAATTCCAATCAGGAAATTGATTTGAAGAAAAATTAAAAAATGTACATCTTTAACGTCCCCCGGTGGATAAAGCATTCCACTGAATAGATGAAGTTGAGTTCACTTGTTTAATGACATCGGCATATGAAGGATGGTGTGGTGAGCAGTGTGCCTAGCCGTTTTTATTTTCCCCAACATAGGTCAGGTACCCATCAGAGCTGTGTGGACTCAGGGACGTCCTACAGTGACTAGTCCGAACCAAACTTTATACCATTTTACTATATCGCCACATTAAAAGAAAGTAGATTTCAAAAAAAAAAAATCTTTGTAGGTCTATACATGATCCGATCAAGAAATCACCTTAGGACTGGATTTTAACCTGAAATTTACTTTAGTTAGCTATTTAGCTAATTTAAAAAACTATGTTTGTGGAATGTTTTAAAAAACCTACCAGTTCACTTCATGTTGACAACCCTCAGATACTGTTTTAGAAAGTTATTGCTTTGTCATAAAAATAAATTGTGATTACGTTTTGTGTCCAACGTATGACTATGTCGAGAAAGGGTAGGGGAGTGACAACCATTTTTACAGAATTGTGGCGGCATGTATGGACGACCAATTATGCAGAGCCCCCCCCAACCCACCCTCCTTCTGGGGCACTTCACAGCCCACCCACTCGTCGACAAACTAAGCTTTTTAAAATTTCACAAAACAGTTTAAGAATTATTATAATCTACGGAAATTAAAAGTGCACTCCTCCGCCTAAAGCTGAATGTCTGAAACCCTGCAAGGAACTATTTCCAGCTGAGTTGACTCAGGGGTGTGGATACAGAGTAATTAGAGGTCTCCTTAGATATGAAATAATGTTTCCAAGACCTACTGAACTAAGTTGACTCATGCTGATGTGTGTTTGTTTTGTGTGGGGGCGGGGGAGAGTTCGTATAGAAACGAAATCAGGGGCGGGGGTCGTATAGAATCGAGTTGACTCACGGGTTAGGTTACTTCCCGCTTTCAAGACCGATAGTTCACTTAAAGAAATGTATGAAATTCTTAGCATTACCAGTTCATACCTAACATAGAGACGTGTTAACATAACGTAGTGTTAGACTGACATATTTTACTTCGTTGTTTTGTTTTCCTCGCCGTTCTTATCGTTTATCTGTTATCTCCCCTCCCGATCTAAATTTAAACTCACGTGACTACGCTAACAACAGTAAACACAACACCAGCAACAGCTTATCACACCCACACTCGGGGGACTGGTGGTTTAAACACATCTTACATTAATTATCACAGCGATTTGCAATGGCAAGAAGGGTACACATTATTCCACGTTTTACACACACACACACACACATACACACACACACACACACACACACACATATATATATATATATATATATATGTGTGTGTGTGTGTGCGTGTGCGTGTGAGTGTATATTTATGTATGTATATGTAGGCCTATGTATTTATATATATATATATATATATATATATATATATATATATATATATATATATATATATATATATATATATATATATATATATATATATATATATATATATATATATATATATATATATATATATATTCATATTCATATTCATGTATATGTTTATATTTTTATATATATGCGTATGTATATAATTATTAATACTGTACATAAATACATATATTGCATAACGCTTATAAGAGAGCAAAATAACGCTCACGTGGCATTTGAATCTGTCAATAATAACACGACTAAGCTAATAGCTAAGGCTAAACGTTATATAGCTGACGTATTAGGGGTTTATAATGGTGGCTTGTCCACCCCACCCCAACACCCCAACCCAACTCCCCCACCCCAAACTCTTCACCCCTCAACTCTACCCACCACAAACTCCCCACTCCTACATCCCCTCACCCCCAACGTTTAGTCTAAGCGAACCAAACTCTCAGTATCATAATTAGACCAGTCCGTTATGTTAAATTGACAACAAATCCACTAAGTTTCACACAAGTAACTTGTAGCAGAACTTGCCCGTATCGTAGTCTAGTAAAGGCAGAAAATGTTTTATTTCCAGACGCCCCCAACCCCACCCCCCTCCCCCAACACTCTCCAACTCAGTTTGTTTAACCACAGAAATATGTCCAGGTTCTAATCAGGGCCGTGGCCTATATCAGACGTCTACGTGACGTCCAGCACTAGCCATCGTAGGGTCTCAGACGTATGGTTTTTTTAATACGTCTTGAAGTAAGCAGCTTAAGTGCGGAAAATTATTTTGTGAATAGCTTGACTCAAAGATAACTGCTTCGATTGATTATCTCGTTGGTGGCGTGTGTAAAAACTAAATTTAAAATTACACCTGTTTAAAATAAATATTGGATTTAACATGAGCATAGTATTCTTCATCTCCATCTTTCTTAAATGTAATTGGTCGGGATTACATCCAAATAATTACGTATTACGTGTCAACTTCTTATGCGCCGTATAAGCCGTGGACGCAGATTTCAGGCGACTTTTCTTTTAGGATTTGCTTCCATAGCCTTTGTCCAACCAAGAACAAACTATAAGTCTGATTAAGAAGTTTTCTCTACTAGATGGGTTGCTGTCGCCAGCTTTTGAGGCTCATAAGCCCGAGGGATTTGAACTCGGGTTTTTTCAGTTTAGCAGCCCTTAGCTTTTTTTGTTAAACAATATGCATGTTATCATGTGCACAATAATACAGCACATTTTAAAATATCTAAGGTCAAAGCAGAACAAGTTACCTCTCTACAAATAGAGAAATTGAACTAATTCTTCCTTAAAAAATGATAGAACAACGACTTAACACTATTCTCGCAGCTAGTGCTTTGAATAAAGAGTATATCCCCCCCCCCCACCGACTTTAAGATTTATTAAAATTTCTAAAAAATTCAAGGCCTTAGATCGTTTTAGGTTAGGTATTCTTTTAAGACCTGACGATCATAAGGGGAGCTCAACACGAAGTCTGTTCTTAAAATTATTGTAGTTCATTGAACATCTCTGTTTAGCGATCTACCAACTGGATGTTGCATCTGTTTAGATTGACGTAAGCGTCACATGATAGGTTTACCTTACATAATATAGAGTGACTTTTGTGGTCAAAGTCTAGGTTTCAAGGTTAGTTTGACCTCAGGGTATCACACAAGAGTGACCTTGGGGTCACCGTCTAGAGTGACGTTGGTTGAATGTAAGGTCTGACATTTGAGTCATGGTTGGCCGTAGATCACTTTCAAGGATGACCTTAGGGTGAGCGTCTCTAGAGTTCTTAGAGCCGCCGTCTATTTTGACCTTAGAGTCACCTCCTTTTATGACCTTACTGTCACCATCTAATTTAACCTTAGGTTCACCTTCTATTTTGACCTCGATGTCACCGTTCTTTTGGAATCCCAGGGTCACCGTCTATTGTGACCTTATGTTCACCTTCTATTGTGACCTTATGTTCACCTTCTATTATGACCTTAGGGTCATCGTCTATTGTGACCTCAAGTTCACCTTATATTGTGACCTTAGGATCACCCTCTACTCGAATCTTACACTAAAACACGACACTACTAGATATGCGGTAGTACCGCGACCTCCATTTTGATCTGTTAACATTCCCATGATGCAATGCAAGTCACTGGACTAGACATGTGCAGTTGGACCAATTAAATTAGATGACTTATCTTTGAACCTGGGACTAATTAAAGTAGGTCATGTTGACACATGAGTTGGTTAAGATGTAGCAGTTGTTGGTGTGTGCTAGCGAGGTGTGCCCTGTGTAGGTGTGTTTGATGTCAGGGTGTTGTGTATACGTATTATGCATATTTTTGTGTTTGTATGTGTATTGGAGGACGTGGCCTAGTAATAGAGAGCTAGACTTCTAACCACAAATTCTCGAGTTCTAATACTGGTTCATATTAGTAGACCACCCAGCTCTGATGGGTGCCTAACTTACGTTAGGGAGAGTAAAGGCGGCTGGGCATAGTGCTGACCACGCTATCCCTTCATATGCCGATGTCTTTGAAGCAGATGAACTCTACTTTATCTGCCCCATGTGTCTTGGGTACGAACCGGAAATGATGATGGTGTGTGTGTTCTAAGTATATTATATCTGTGGTGTGTTATATTTAATGTGAATGATGTATGGTGATGTAAGAGTTGCATCTAAATACACCATATAACATACTGTATATCCGAAATGTTTTGGTGGGGGGGGGGGGGAGCAAAAAAAAATTACTTCGACACATTTGCAAGTAGCAACAATGAATTCCGAAACAGTCCTCTAAGTCAAAGGTTCTTAACTAGGTCTCGATAGAACCCCAAGACTTCAGTGATATAAGACACACACCCGACTCATGATTCACGATGGGATTTCGTCAGTAAAGACGATAGACTAATTTATAAGGGTTTAGTGAATAAGCGTATGAAACTGATGAGGGTTCGTTACCTCCAAAAGGGTACCAGAACTAATAAAAATTAATTAATTAAGTAAAGGCCAGTATAAGTATCTTCATTAGTATAGGACCATCTATAATAAAAGGACACTTTGCCATACATCGAATCAGACACAACATGCACTTGAAGATAAGCTAGGACACGATTTTAATTTAGTAAAAAAGAGACAAAGCCTTAATGAAAGTTTTTTTTAAAGAACGACGTAATTTATTTTCATGTATTGTGATATGTCTATATATTTTATTGTGAGGATTCGATTTATAATTAAGGATTTAGACAATGTTTTTGGCAGTATCTGTTTGTTTCCGAAAAAAAGTTTTGTTTTCTTTTTTTTGTTTGTTTTAATTGTACATGACCTTAATCAGACACTATAGTCCAACTGTAGGCCGGATCAACGGCAATTCAACAGGAGTTTCGGGGCTCCGGACTCCAGGCCTGTATCGTGTCTGATTACATCTGGTTTTGAGT